TACGACGCACAAGAGCGCTCTGCAACGTCTACCCACCACAGGAATCTGTCAATCTGATTGGTTGAGATTAAGTATACAAAGAAATTATTAAAAACAACTTGAGAACGCAGATATATTTATTTTTCTAAATATCAATTTGAACTAGTCCCAGAACAAATTTTGGTCTGGGAGTGACCATTTTTTTACAGGTTACCTATTTGGTCACGATTAAAATAGCAGGTATACATCTCCAAGTCTCATTGGAAAAACGAAAGCGATAGATCTTAATAAGAAGCCGAAGGTTCCAATCAATAATAAATATAAAAAAATGGAAAGGAAATGTGGAACTTTGATATATGTGCTTGACATTTGGCAAGGGACAAAATTGTTAAAAAAAATTAGTACCTATGAGTCGGGTTGAGCAGTGAGGACAGGGGCCATCAATGCTGATAGGTAGCCAAGCTGGGTACCTATGCGTTTGTCCATCACCAGCTTACTTTAATTTGAGCAAACTATGAAATGTATAAATACTTCAAGATCACATACTCTAAAATTGTTGATGCAATGACAAAAGGCTTTAATGTGTTACTAAATCAATTTTTTAAAAATAAAAAAAAAAATTTAAAAAAGAAAAAAAAAGAAACAAAACCTATTTAGATGTATTTTTAGTTTAAAATAATCTGTTTTCAAGAAATTTTATTTCATACCAAGATAAGAATGGTGATGTGTGTGGGATATTGAGTGACAGTTTCTTTTTGAAGACTGAATTCATCTGACAACTTTAGAGAAAATAATTTAGAGGATGCCCAAGCACAGCAATCAGTTTCTGGAGTAGCTTTTATGGCAAGCAAGACAAAATTTAGGTAGGCACGACATCAGATTGATTCATTTTACATCAAATGAGATCCTATCATGCTCATCTTGTCAAAATCTTTCTAGTTCACAAAGTTTCAAAAATGAACAGTTAATTTGTACCTCTAAATAAGAATATATGTATTCAGGTTGGAAAAGAAAATAACGAAATATGTTGATTACATCGTGAGTACAGCAGAGACACAGAGAAAACAAAAGCAACTATTTTTAATAATTTGAGAAAAATCCATGAAGGAAGCAATAAAAGTTCGGGACTGCAACTGAGTCTTTGAGACATCTCAATTTTAATAAATCTTTCACTGGAGGTGTAAAGTTACCATTTATCAAGCAGGTGTGAGCACTACGTTTAATGATATCAGTTTCAGACAAAGTTATGGATAATAATGAACAGATTTGGGATGAAAGCGAATTAACAGGAGAAAATTAGTTAGTAAAGAGGGCCATTTGACAGTCAAGAGCTGATCTGAAAGGCCTTTTTTTTCTCTTTTTCGGTAGGTAACTTAACAGTTACACTAATTGTCAGAGGATAGTAAAAAGTGTGGTCATTTAACAGCTAGGTAGGTATCTGATACGAAAAGAAAACCGAATTATTTTTATTCCTGTTGTGACATGTTATACCTGTCAAGTCTTGTGAATTTAACATGATACCTAGGGGCTTAAGTTTAGTTGATAGAATTAACGTATAAAAGTCTTAACTTTTTTTTACAGAGAAAAAATTTAAAAAATTTGGAAAAAGAAAGAAATTTCATTGTTCACAATTTTTATAAGTTAACTTATTACTTTTCATCCATACTTTCAATCCCTCAGGACGAACATTAGGTGATGCGTTGTCTCTCCCTTCTGAACCAACCTAATCTTACTGGCCAGTTTTGTCTTTTCATGCTGGAAATTATTCCTGGGACAGCCCCAAAAGTAGCGCATACAACTTCCTTTTATTTCTATTGGTATCCTATTCAGCTGGCTTTCATGAAACTTACTTAAACTTAGTCTGCAGTTTGGGTAGCTTTTCCGATTTATTGATAACTTTGATTCTTTGATTTAGGGGAACATTATAGTTTTGACCGTTTTTCATCCGTTCAGTAAAACAGGTTAGGTGTATGAAAATCAAAAATTGAAAGATTTGTCCTGCTTATTTTACTTAAGTTTAAAATACTAAACTATCAAACTTTAATGGATCAAGAACGATATGAATAAGTAAGATACCCTTAAATTATCTGATAACAAGGCATACAGCTTGAAATGTTAGGAACTGCAAAAATAAATTGTTATGCTGGACGTTCGCTCCCTGCATTTAATTTTAAAAAAGGCTAGAATTTTGCATAAAAATAAACTGTGCAAAGTAGATATTAGATATCGGAAATTATCTCTGATGGCAACTAATTAAAACAATTACATAGGCACATCATTTTTGAGTTCAAAAGAGATACAGGTGGACCATTTTTCAGCGTCTTTCATCACTTTAGAAACACCCTACACAAAAAACCAAAGAATTTGATGAATAATTTTGTTACTATTTAATATGATGTCCTTCACAACCTCCTGAACGCAATAAGGTTTTAAAATCAAATATTTTTAGTGCAAATGTAGAGAAAAGCAGGGCATTTTTCTGCATTCTCACATGCATTATTGAGTAGAAATGTTGGAATGTCTGATGATAATTAGTGATCTGGGAGAGCTTTTGTTTCTGTGCTGGTCAAGAAGATAAGATAGACAAAAAGAGTCCTATTCCCCTGAATGATAGCAGCGTGAGGGGCAGCATCTACACATGTAAAAGGCAGTGTTCTTACACCTCCATATGAAAACTTGTATAAGAATGCTAAACAAACACTGCAGATCCACTTTCCTCAACATTAGTACATTCAAAGTTTTAATTCAAAAGCTCATCCACCTCAGAGGGTCATTAAGAACGCTATATCAAATAAAAAAATTAGGCGGCACTGAATTTTTTTATTCTCTGTGCGGGGTCTTTTGTTAAGGTGATTCGACGGTTGCTATTTTTTGTGTCAGAGCAACGTGCCATATAACACATCAATTCCTTTCATAATTTCAGCTACTTGTCATTTTTTTTGAATTTTGAGATCGCACTTCTCTTGTCGCAAAACTAAAGAATTCATGTACCTAATTTGACAAAGAAATTCAACGTATTAAAGGCAGGGTTCTTTCAGAGGAAAAATATCGCATTCGAGTACAGTTGCGATATCAATATCAAATGCGATGTTTCTCCTCTATAAAAACCCCTGCCTTTATTAAGTTGAATTTCTTTGTCAAATTCAGTACATGAATTCTTTGATCTCATGGCAACAGAAGTGCAATCTCAGAATTTGAAAAAATGACAAGTAGCTGAAATTATGGAACGAATTGATGCGATATATCACATGTCGCTATAACACAAAAAATGGCAACCGTCAAATCACCTCAAGACTTCCTAAAAGCCCTGACATGATTTTGTAGTCATATTTCAGGTTGAGTTAAGTAAATCAAATACTGGAGGAGAGGTTGATTCATGTCCCTTTTTTTGTTTCTGCATACACAAAATCAAAAAAAAAAAAATAATTCACTGGTGATACTATGCGGACTATCCCTCTTTACAAAGAAAACAGTAATATTCATAAGTCTCGAAGGATTCTTCAGTATAATGCAATTTTCTTTGACTTTTGAACCTTGTACAACAAATAAAACATTGACTGTTGTCGTGACTACAACCATACGTGAACTATTTCTTTTTGATTGTTTTGCACAATGGATAAAACCCATTCATAAATGTTGATAAAACTTTGTACGACAATGAAATGACAAGCCTCTTGACTGCTTCTAAGTGTACTTCACATCAATTAGCTCAACAAGGATGATATCTGAAGTATAATTGGCAGATATGATGCTTTTGATGATTGGTAAATGAATCATTTTAATTCTAATGATTTTCTAAACAGTCAAGCAAAATATTCATGATTCAGTGATTCACCTGCTAGATGAGAGATTTTTACTTACAAAGAATGGGAAAGACTAGAATTCATTAAAAATTCAAAGTATAAAATTTCAACGGCATCACGCAATAACAAAAACATTATTAAATTGAAATGATAAGGTGAATTTGACTGTTTCAGCTGTGAAGAATTTTTTTAAATTGTATAGTGCACACAACAATCATTTTTCTTTCTCTACATCTGAGGTACTCTTGACCCAAAACTGTTCAAACCTATTTCGTGCACTGTCCATTATATCATGCCCTAGTGGTTGTTGACCCCTTGATAAAGAGGAATCACTAATAGGGATGGACTCAGTTTTCGAGTTTATGTCTGTTGAATTAGTTTTTGTATCACCGATGGTAACAGTATCATCTAACTTATTTGATTCACTTGTTTGATTGGCATCAAAAGCAAACGAGGGGTCGTCTACACATTTTAATGTTGAATCTGAAACTCGAGAAGGAGAGGTCTCCTCTTTTTTACTAGGTATTGAGTCGTAGCCGTTTACACTTTTTTTAATAGGTGATATTGTATGTTTTGGGGATGATTTGATGTCTTTGTCCGCTAATATAGATCCTGGCAGCATGTAAAAAACAAAAGATTAAATTAAGTACATAAGTAGGAATATGAGAGTGAAAGCTTACTCATAAAGCAATCTAAGACTTCTTTTTCAGGATAAATAATAATATTGCTGTCTACTTTGAGTTGAAAAAGTGGGCAAACAATGAGATTCCTGTCAAACATACAAAGCTATAGTTCCAAAAAAAAAAACAAAAAAACAAAAATCAACTATGAATCTTGGAAATTATACGGCAACTCTTTGCCATCAAATCATGCAGAAATTAAAAATAAAAATGCAAGAGTGTAAAAATAAAGGGACATTATATTTAAAAAATTATACTGGTATAAGCCTGACAGCAAACAATACTGAAAAATCAAAAAATATACGCAAAATAACAAACAACCTAAAATAAGTTCGTACACAAAGTATAAAAGTAAAGTAAAAATTAGGATTAGAATAATTTAAAAGTAGCACAAAATAAATAAATGCAAAAGAAAGGACTACCAATGATATTTCCATACAAAAAAAAAGCCACAGGAATGCGGTACATACATTATTTTGAAAAAAATAGAAATAAAATAAAAAAATTGGAACAAACAATTTAACCACTAAATACGTAATTTTGCAATTTCTTTAATGTTGAGCATAATAATAGGATAGGATAACTTTGTATTTTTATGCCTACAACTCAGCATTTGCTGGGTGAGTGATGCGTTTTGAAGCATTTTTGAACCTATGATCACAGTAAAATTCTCTTTCACTTAGCATACACCTAATAATTCTACGTGATAAAATAATACAGTTTTATTTCATAACCTATGTTAGGATTCCATGATAAAAAAAGAAGGAAAAATGAGATTTTAAAATTTCAACAAAAGTAATTTAGAGCAACATCATGCTAAACCAACAAAAGAAGTCTAAAATAATCATCAAATTTTACAAAAGTAAAAATCACAAAGAACCATTACATCGAATAGGAAACAACAAGGTAAGATTTTTTAAACCTTGGAGAAACAATAAAAATCACAAGAATTCACTTTTTAAACTATGTAGTACTTCATCAACAAAAAAAACAGTTCCCACGAACCAAACAGCCGATCAAAATATGTTAAAAGAATAAAGCTGTTAACCAGAAATCATCATGCTGCCACTAAACCAATAATTATAATCCACAAGTAAATTTAATATACATTCTATAGTACCATGGGGTGTCTTTGCCGTATATTTTTTCCTGAAAATATCTCTGAAATGTTTGCTTTTAGTTATATCAGGGGTGGGAAAAAGCCACAAAAAAATAAAACTTAGGAACAAACAATGTAAAATTATTTATTTTAAAATATACGGCTCATTTTAGCATGATTCTGGCCCATTTTTAATATACATTGTCTTTCAAGATATCTGACATTGGAGCTTTACTCGATGGGCCACTCGATAAGGTGCAAATATATGCATTCTAATAAATATGCTCTCATTATAATTACACATAGGGGGACACGGTTTATGCAAGGAAAATCATTCAGAGAGACATCATACTAAGATATTAACATTTTTCCATGCATAAATTCAAACTTTCCCCTCATACGCAATTCAAAATTTTCGTAACCAACGCTAGATGGAAACGTTCATATTTTGGTTTGGAGTAAATATCAGTAATTTTTTTTTGCATGAATCGTTGAAATTTTGAGACAAGAATATACATCAAAATGCTTACATTCGTACCTAGTTTAAGGGTACATGACAGGGGCCAAATTTTGCCGGCTTCTTGTGGAGATGCAACATCTATCAATGAGTCCAAACCGCACTACCAGCCGATCAGTGGCACTAAGCCGGACTTAGATGCGGTTGAGACTTGTCTTAAGTGTATTTGAGTACGACCAACAAAATTCCGACCCAGGAGTTACAATATCGAGCAAAATTCTTGACAGAATTTTCCCACTTATTTGCAGCATTTCTCCCTATTAATCTGTCTAAAACGGCTATTTCAAAGTTAAATGCTTTCGGCTTTTGGGAACTGTTAGTGCAGACTACAAAATACTTTAAAAAAATAAATAGATAAATTAAAAAAAACTAAAAAAAAATATCATAAATGTGCCGTTCAAATCAAGATGCATGCCACAAGTATAACAGTCAAAAAAGAGGTGCTGCTTCATTTGAAAATGGCAAGATCTACGAGAGAACAATTTCCGAGGTGAGCATCACTATCAATGAAGGCAGTTAGGACAATTATGAGTGACTAATATTTTGAGCGGCCTCGAATTCAAAGTTGCCGCCACCATTGCTTGGGGAATGGGATCGAATCAATTGCTCGCCATTCAAATGCTCGGCAGTGTATACCGTTTTGAAATCGGAAAAAAAATTTTGAACAGATATTGACTGTTTATCAAGATGGGTATCTGCGTTATCTTGAAACACATGTTCCTTCCTGATGTCAGGAGTGACTGAATTCGTTTTACCGAAGCCATTGGTTTTCAGCGCCTCAGGGTATAAAACTGTGTCAGACTGTTCGATGAAAAAGTCAGGGACCACTGCACTTAAACCGTTGGTTTTTAATGTCTCTCCTGTGGGAGGCAAGACGGATATTTCATTAGAAATATTGGAAACTTCCTCATTTTTGTCAACGACTTCTAATGCCTCGGAGGGCAGAAAAGCATCAGATTTTTCAGAGAAATCTAAACTGGCACCTTTTGTACTTGGATAAGCTTCTTTCACGCTTACTGGTGAAACTGACCGACTATCGTTGGAGTTAAGAACGTGAAGCTCTTCTTCACTGTGAATGTCCTCGGAACTTGTTGTGGGTGCATCATTCACACTATCTTTGATCGATGGAAAACCTGACTTAGAAAAATGATCTGAGGCATCATCTTCATTTGGGGAGTCATGATTATTCTCATCAACTTTAGGATCTGACTCTATAAAACCATTTACTACTGTGCTTGAAAGCCCAACAGCGAATTGGTCAGATGTCTCTTGGTTCTCAACTTCTGAGCTGATTTCATATCCAATTCCCTCTGCCAAAAATTGTTCATCAATGTCTACCTTTTGTTCCGAATCTCCAGATCCCAACCTGCTATTTTCTGGATCTTCGCTCTCCGCCTGTTCCGTTACTTCAGTCTTGGCTAAGTCTTGGTTACTAATTTCAGACAGATCAGGCGTCTCTTCATGATTCACTTCAGTGGTCATAGCTGAGACTCCATGACTAATCTCAAATGTGTATTGATGTGAGTTTTCATTATTCTCTGAGTTTATTACTTCTTGATTCAAGTTTAATTTTTCGTTGTCGGATAAATATTTTGGATTTTGCTCAATAGGCAGCGTTTCGTTCCCGTCAGGAGGCGAACCTTGAGAACTGCTGTCGATCTCACTTGGAATTTCAAATTCTCCGATAATTGGAGGATTTTCTTTTGTCAAAGGGACAGAACTTGGCACTATCAAGGACTCCAGATTGTGTTCACTTTCGGTGAACTTGTGTTCAAAATTAGGAGTCGGTGATGCTCGGTGATTATCAGAGCTGAAACCATCTGACCTGGTTCCTTCACTGTTATCTAAATGAGGGGTTGAGAGAGATAGCAAGCTTTTTTCGCTTGAACTGGGTGGAATTTCAGATGGAGTCTCCTCAAGATCAGGAGTTGAGACCACAGCATATCTATCTTCGGTATCATCGAGCTCTGCGTTGTGGTGGATAGAATCAGAACTATTCTCTTTCAACCCGTTAAGTAGTTTGTTGGCTTCACTGTGGTCATCATGAACATTGGCTGACTCCTTAGTGATATCCTTTAAATGCAGTGACCCAACTTCAAATTCTTCATTTACGGGCATAGGTGTATGAGTATTAAGTTCATCACTTACAAAAACACATTTCTCACTTACAATTTCACTTTCTGAAATTCCGTTTTCTTCCTTGGGAAGGTCATTCTGCACATTGAGCTCATCATCAATATTGAATGATTCAGAGTAATTATTGATATCTTCCATGTTTTTAAGCTCAGCTTGACTTGTGAGACTTACATTAGCGATTTCTCCACTTTCTTTGAAAGCCTCAGCTGGACCCTCAAAGTTTATAGCTTCACTATCATCATTCTTCAAGTTCTTAAAAAGTGCACCGTCAGAGATGACTTCGTTGCTATCCTCTTTCACATCTTCATTTGAGAACTTTTCTTCAACAATGGGGATTTCCACTGGGTGATCTTGTCTCTCACCATCATTTAACTCACAATCTGGACTTGTACCAACTGGAAAGTTCAAGGATGCTGTTACTGAAGATTCACTTCTGCTCTCCGCTTTTTCTTCATTCAAGCCAACATTTGATTCCATAATTTTGCTCAAGTTACTTTCAAATCCAACCTCCCGATCAATGAACTCACTGGTCAAATCTTCAATGACATTATCTGACGGCCCTTTGTCTGATTCAACACTTGATGCAACGGGATTTTCTCCTCTAGGACAAGCTTCAGTTTCTTGTGCCGAGACTTCCTTTGTAAGATCTGTAACATCTGGTGCTGTATCAATGACTGAATCAATGCTATCTGAGTCCCTGTCATCATTCATTTCAATGTCTGCATGCACAGACATTGCCTTCTCAACATTTGAAACGACCGTGTTATCGTTCATGCTGAGAGGATAATTCAGTTCACTGCCATCAAGCGAACTTGCATTCTTTTCGCTCATCAAATCTTCTTTGGTAAAGATACTTTCGTGTTCCAAGTCAGTGAAGTGGCCCGTGTCCAACTTGAAAGATTCAGTTTCATCATCAACTGAATACTTACCCAAAGACTGATTTAAATTCTCGGATAAGTCTGAGTTGGAGCGATGAAAAGCTGCGTTTTCAAAGGGTGCGTTTGGTTTTGGGTCCTGGATATCTTCATAGCTGTTGAAAGAGTCGTTCATTTCGTTACTAGCTTTGTCCACACTGACGTAGCCTTCTGATATATTACCATTATGCTCATCTAGTTTTTCTTTTTCCAAAATTTCATCCATTTCTTCTACACTCTTTTCTGGCGAGACGGGGGCTGAAAAATTCAGCTGCCTCTCTTCTTCCTTCTCAAATCCACTATCATTTAAGGTTCTGCCCCTTTCATTGCTATCAAAATCATTCCCGGAGTATTTATCTACCTCAAGGTCATCTACAACCACATTATTGAATTTCTCGAAATCTGTCAAGTTTTCAACGGGGCTTAATACTGAGCGTTTTGATCTACTCAGTTGGCTCTCAATTTTAGTGGCATCGTTGGTTTCAAAAGCAGTCTGACACAGATCGTTCCCACCATTGACTTGGTCTAAAGCTTCTCGAGGAACCGGGGAGGAAACATTCAGTGGCTCAAAGTGATGATCTAGATTATCGTTAGAGAGTGACAAGTCCATGATTTTACATACTTCTAATGATTCAAGCGATAAACTATTACCTGAAGACACCTGACTATGTGCATGAGGAGTTGTCGTTGGAATACTTTCTCCTTGGAGCCGAGCTAAAGCTTCACCTGCAACATACAAGTCGTATTGTTGTAAAAAATCTTTCACAAATAAATTCGTTTTGACAAAAGAGAAAATACAAGAGTAATAATAATCTACTATAAATTTATATGTGGCACAACTAGAAATGAAGCAGAGCTCTTGAACTCGCAGGATCAAATCTGACTTCAACCCTGGTCTCCACAAACCGTTTTCATAGAACTCACTGCCAGAACTATTTTCCAATTGATTTTTACTCCCTCTAATTTAATGTCAACAAGGACAGATCTTGACGCAAAATTCTAGAGTCTTTTGTCTTGCTTGTTCATCGAATTGCTGTTTTTGCTATTTTTCCCCCTTTCCCGGTATGTATTTGGAGATAAATTTTGTTCCTGCGGTCTGCTGAAGACATTTCCTGCAACAATGCCTGGCACTTGATGTGACCACCAGTTCATTTTCAGTGAGCGACCCAGAGCAAACCGTCCTGGCCGTGCTCTGATGGCCAGTTTTATGGCATTGACTTCTCCTTTGTGGAAAGTATAAAGTATATCTTTTTTGTATGCATTATGCTTCAATAATTTTGATCAGAATGTTCCAATTCTCTTTGGAGAGGGTGATTGCTAATGTTGATTTAAGACTTTTCCACTCAATCCATAGGCACAAGTATCATCTGTTAGCCTATGAGTCAGAATAGAACAAAATGTGCACAAATGAGTACTAAATCATACCTTTAGGCTTCATATGAATAGGCGAAGCTACAACAAAAGATAAAAGAAATCACATTGTTTAAAATATTTTCTGTCGTGTTGAAACTAAACTTTCGTCTAAATTCAATGACATCAAATAGGATAATATTATTTTTCCTTCACTTCAGTCCAGTGAAAAACCTGCAAGTGCTTTTTTTTTTACTTCTCAGCTCTCTTTGATTTGAGCTTACTGATAAATATTACTCGCCCCTCTCAAAATTTTATTGACTATAATAGGGCCACTACTCACAACTCGATTAGAAAATCCTGCTTTCTTCATGATTCACAATACTCCTCCATTTTAGTTATTTCCTCAATTCTATTCCAAGCATTTTCATTTTCTTCAATATTGCAGATCCTGAGGAGGTTTCTTATATTTTATAAATTTTTTAGACTGAGGGTTGGTAATTTTGCCAACAGTCGTTAAATTTAGTATAAAACTGAAATTTTCATAACAGAGGGTAAAAGTTCATCCAATGCAACTTTCTGCAAAGAATGTATGCTGTTTGGTACAATACTAGTTTTAAACAATCAGGAATCAACTAAGAACGCATTTAGGAACTAGTTGGTCTCATCATCAGCTCAATTTGTGATCAGTCTTATTTAATGTTGCACCAAGTAGCAAATATCTCTTTCAGGGAAAATTGAACTCCGATGAGCTTTTTCCTTCTATTGTAAGAATATCAATTTTATACTAAATTTTAAAAAACTGAAAGATAGAAGATATACCTGTGGAAGTAAGCTTCATTTCCACTGAAAAATATTCTTTGAATGATATGAAAATAAATTTAAAATATTTTGAGACTTTGATAGGTATATGTAATTCAAACTTTCATAACAATTCAGAATTAGGACTTTAGAAATGAAAGGTTTGCTCTACAACGAAATAAAAATTCAGCCAGAAACGATAGTGGGAGAAACGGTAATAGAGTAAAAAAACAGCTTTAAAAGGTTGTATTCATTACCCTGTGAATAAAAAGCCTTCCTAATATTTACTGGACCAAAAATTCATAGAAAGCACAGACTCTTGAAAAGAGGAAACAGAGCAAAAATGTAAAAACTCACATGATGATTAAAACTATTTACTTTAACCAAGAGTATTCTATTGATTTTCAGTAAGCTACTGAAACAGTTCCATAAAAAAGAGGAATGATAAAAAGGCCCTTGCTGGTAGCTATCGGAGTTTTCAGAGCTGGCAAAAAGGAGCAGTTGCCATGCTCATCAGTTTTATGAGCTAAGCAACCCAACAGACAGACAGACATACAGGGCAACAATGCTTGAACTCGAAGCTTCCTTGGTTCCGAAAGCATTAGCCGTTTCTGACAAAAGCGCTCTCATTAGAGTGTTTCGGTTAGTCGGAACAAACCACGCAGATAGCTTACTGATAAGAATTTGCCTGAACATCCCTAACCTCAACAAGCTGGATGGAATAAGGAATAATTTTAATGAATGTGATGAGGAACAAACAGCATGATAATTTTACCTTGCACATTTTGCGTGACAGTGAAGGTTTTCCCAGTATCCAAGGGGACGGTCCAGTTCACTGGCTCCGGCGATCGCATCATCATTTGCTCCGGAGACTTGACCCTAGTCGGTTCTGGAGGTGACTTCACGATTGGCTCGTCAATTAGTGAAGTTGGCTCCTCATCTTCTTCTACAAAAAAAAACACATAATTTGAAGACAAATGCTGAGACAGATAAATCATTCACTTAAATCACTAATAACATAATTCAACAAAAGATAAAACTCCTTCATTGCTGCGGAGCAAATCACCAGCAATTGATTTATTCCTTCCATTTTACGGACCTCAAACGGAAAATAAGAAAAAAAAATATCAGCAAAAGCCAATATTATGATCACAGAAGCTCTGACTTAGAAAATCACATCTTTATCTTCACACGACAGGAATTCCAAAGACTAACTCTTGAATGAGGTATTAACAAGTACTTTTTTACAGTTGAAATAGAAGATAGAAAGCATAAATGACGTCATTATAATTTCTGCCATTTAATCACTGCCAACAGAAAACACTTATTGCTTTTTTAGGATTTTATTTTCAAACATCCACTTGTGCGATTCATTTCCCTTGAGAGATTTTGAGAAGAAATTATGTTGCATGGTGCTTTAGTTCATACCTTGTCCATTAATACCAATTCCTTTGAGAAACTGGAGGGTGGAGAGGGAGTTGGAATAATATTCAATGCCTCCTTTGATAATGGACTTGCTCAAAAGTAGGTATTTATTGGAAGCACTTAGGAATAGTCAATGTGACACAATAAAGCCATGGTTAGTTTGATTTTCGCTGCCTTAACTGTTAATGTTGAAAAAACTATAGTCAGTTTTGCTGGAATCTTACTCAATAAATTCTTTTTGCAGAAATTACTGCAGCTAATGCTAAAAGCAGCAGAGACGTTAAAGTTCCTGTGACCAGCAAACCTTAAGTTTACTATTACCAAAGTTCCTCTTACCAGAATAATTATGATAATATTCTGTTTACTGTTTCCAGCAGAGGATAGTAGTCAAATTCAGAGTTGACTTGACTATATCACTGAATAAGGTACGTGGTTAACATTTAAACATAGATAAATTTTCAATAGTTGACTACATAAAGTCTGCAGTGTGCAGCATTGTTACGTATTTTTGCAGTTTCATGGTGAATATTTCTTTGGGTACGAAACCAGATCTACTGATGATTTAAACTGATGTATCTTGAAATAAAAGTTCACAATACTTTTTAAAGAATGAAAAAAGTCAAGTCCAATTACCTTGTTTTTTAAAGGACAGAGAGATGCAGGTTTTTTCATCCTACCGAGTAATTTTTAAAAAAAGTTTTTTGGAATAGGAGATTTTCCAACGGACTCTTTTGAAAAGCTTCATCTTGAAAAAGAAATGCTTTTCAACCAAAAAATAAAAAACCGGAAGTATAGCATCAAAGATAAGCATCTTCACCCCAAAAACCCGATTGTTACAGTTAAGGTTTTGCTGCCTCAAAATTCGATGATAAAATGAACATTGTACGAAGATCGGAGGTTAAATTAAAGTCTGCAAAGGTAGTTGCAGGCCTCAGAGGTAAATTATTGATTTCTGTGAAAAAGGGGAGTTCGAAACTACTCTACTTGAAAGATGGTTGGTTTTGACAGACTTTTAAAAAGAAATTTAAGAGCTTGAAGTATTTTTCTTTCTTTTTCAACTCACTTTGCAAGGAGCTTTTAAAGCGCGGTTTTTAGTGGTAATAAATAGGATCATACTTGGACGAATTAACATGGATCAGTCTTACTATATCAGTTGTTGTCTAATTCTCTTTCTTGTTTTATTTATGAGGGGAAAATTGATCATTGTTCTGACTTGAAATTTTGTCTATTTATTCCTTACCAGCCAAGACAAGTATAGGTACAGCATTTTTTAAGACATGATGTTGTTCGGTTCTCTGTTAAAAAAATAGGTAAAATGTAGTCTGGCTGGTTCGAGTAAAATTTGTCCATTTCAGGATGCGAAAAAAGCTCGACTTGAAAGCTATGAAAGTGCAGAGAGGGCTTTTGGACAAAAGTGAAATACACAGAAAGCTAGAAACGGCACATAATACTTTGCAAAGAAGATATTTTTAGTGACAGAAGAGCATGCTCCAAGAGACAGTGATCAATTTAAACTATTAGATTGAACTTAGACAGAAAATATGGGAGATATGAACAAAGACAGAATAACCGTGCATGGTGAAACACAACAGCTTAGTGGCTGCAGACTAACTTCATGAAGTTTGAAACATATTTCTACTTTGATGTTCATCATCTGGCTTAATAGTAAAAAGACTTGCTCTCCATGCAAATACGATAAACAGAAAATTTAAATTTTTGGAAAACTAAAAGGCTGAATTTGGAACAGTTACACAGCATGAACCGGAGACATTAAAGTGAACAAAAAATGAATTGTATCAAAAACTCTAACTTTCAAATTACCTGATTTTAACAAAAAGAACAAATTTGTTTCGGGAGCCTAACTGCTCCCATCTTCAGCGGGTGACAACTGAGGCGCTCACAGCACACCCTGAGTCAGATTCCGGAGCTAGGGCAGAGAGTAGCGGATCGTCCAGCCCTTTAAGATCTTCATTAATCAACCTAGCTCAGTCGTCACCCGCTGAAGATGGGAGCAGTTAGGCTCCCGAGACAAATTTGTCCTTTTTGTTAAAATCAGGTAATTTGAAAGTTAAAGTTTTTGATACAACTCATTTTTTGTCAATCTACATTTTCAAAGTTTATAATCTCAGGTTAATGGTAAACATTAAAGTGAACAGCACACTGATGTGCAATTCACCCTTCGTCAGTTGTTTCATTTCTGAGACTAATCAAAGGGAAAACATAAAGATAATAAAAACTTTTTCAGGACAGAACTTTGAGTTTGTATACAATATGTAAAGATTTCTGTGCCCTGAATACCTATACTTTCATAAACATATATTAACTGTCAACAATCCTATCATGAGGGCAATGACATGATTTAACATGAGAATGACGTCCCTACCTGGGCATCTTCACACTTTTAAAACTAACCTCAATTTCTGTGTTCAGGAAGTTGGAAATAAGTAATAAGTTTTCACCTTCTTTAAATTGACATGAAAACCACATGACTCACATGTCGCTTTTGTATTCTAATATTTTCTTTTTTCCTGCCCTGACCCATCATACAAATAAAGAACAGCAAAGAAAAAAGGTGTGAGAGAAAATACAAAATTATGAATACTTATTCATGATAAAAAAGAACTATATGCATATAAATTAGTTTTAAGCCCCGGAGTGAGAATAAAAATAAAAGTGTTACTTTCAGTAAAATTTGTTGCTTTATCTCTTTCCTTAAGTGTTTGGATGAAGGTGTAACAAGATGCGTAGGTTACTTCTATATTTTCATAAATACATTCCACATTTTTTTTATTTAAAAGAAAAATCTACCTACTGCCTGATCGAAGTTAAACTGTTCCAATAAAACATTTTAGGGTGCTCCATTTTCTGTGCTTTATGCGACTAATTATATTTATCCTAAGTGTGCAGCACTAAGAGCTAAATGTAACAGTTGGAAATAATGTGAGATAATATTTAAGCCTTAAACAGCTATTTATTGCTACTTACTTTTTTCGCTCTCTGCACCTTTTTTACTTGTATCCACTCTCTTTTTAACCGGCTGTCCAGGACTCTTTGCGGTTGGTGCGGCTGAATTTTTATCTTTCAAATCATCTTTAGACTTTTTGGTTGACAGACTACTTTTAAGTCGTGAGGGAGCTGTAGTGGTTAAGGTGGCTAAAAACAAAATAGAGCTAAATAGCAGCTAGCAACTAAAAAAAATTATAACAGAAAAAAATAACTATGGAAAAATATAGGATACAGTATGATACAGTAGGTAATTGCATTTGCGTTTCTTCGCTGTGAGGGATAGTAGGTACATGAATGGAATTGAATGGTGCTTTTGCAAATTATTCAAGTCAAGAATATATTATATCTAAAACGCAATCATATTAAATAAACGATGAAAGACTATATAAAAGGACGTGGGGCAGTCTGCAGAGCATAAGAGTTTTAAAAATCAAATTTTTTGGGTGCTAATTTTACCGGAAAAAGGACAAAATTGTCCATATTTTTACATGCATTTCCTAGACTGGATGAGGAAACATTGGGCCGATGATAGAAAAGAATGCTCCTTTCCTCACTCACTGCTGGACTCTAATCTTTCCAAGTAATGACATTGTTAACACGTTAATTTTTTAACAAAGTCTTGTCTGCAAATCTTAAAAAATTCTTGCCACAGATTTATGAGAGAACTAGAGTAAAAGTGATACAGAATGATTTTTAGCCTGGAATTTCTCATAGTTGGCACACAGAATATTTGATTTTTGTAAATCCCTCTGTATTCGGTGCAAGTCCTTTAAAAGACCGTTGAAACACTTGCTTTTTCTGAACTGTTTTTTTTCCATGATTTGATCAGAATTAGGTTTTTCAACAATTTTAAAAATGGATATAGAATATCCATTTAAAATATAGAATATCCATAGAAAAAATGGAAAATAGAATGGATGAGGATCTCTAATATTTAGAAACCATTTTGTTTTTGATCAATACTGAAACTTAAGAGACAAATTCACCTGAAGAGTCGTAAAAGTATTATGTATTCGCTTCAAATTTTAAAGTATCAAATAATGACTATCAAGCATGATGGGGAAACAGTATGAAGATTAGACGTGTCCAACGGCCTGCAAGCTAATGATGACTACAGATAAATCTGATGGTTTTCTTGATAATGAAGATTGAAGAACTTCAAAAACTGATTTTTGGGATTGCATGCAATGTTTGATAAGCTCAGCGTATTCTAAAAAACTTGATCCAACTATCGAGATCCCTCTAGAAATAACTGAACTTACAGTATGTTGCTTGATGTAAGTAAGGTGGCATAAAGAGTGGAAAAGGGGTTTCATTTTTACTGTAAAAAGGCAATTTTTCACCCCAAAAAAAAAAAAAAAACTATTCTTTACTGAAACTGTCATTCAATTTTTCATGAATTTCTGTGAAATTTGAAATGGAATTTACAAAATAGAGTGAGTATATAAGGAAGCAAGAATGGAAATGTCTTTTTACCGTAATCTAAAATTGACTAATACAGCCTAATCAAAAGACTCGAAAGGAAATGATTACATCAGCTACAGCTACTGCTTCAATTGTAAGAATTGATTTAATGCATCTTTTGTGACAGAATACATTTTAATCAAGACATACAATTAGAATGACATGACTAAAACTAGCCGAATGAGCTTCACAAGGGCTAGTTTTAAAGCTTATAAGTTACTCTTTAAGGTTCTACGAATCGCATTTTGTAAGCTTTATTTTTTCTGCTTACACAAGAACCAGTTCGATTACTTTTGGGAAAACCTATATGGTGCAGATTTTAGCAAAAAAGTAGACTAATATTTCATGTCGTTACCTAACTGCAAACCCATTGAATATACCCTGAACATCTTTTTTAATACGAAGTAGTATAGGCTGAAAATATTGCTTAACAACCACATTGAATATAATTTCAATTTGGCTCCCACTGTAACAAGGGTGCTCAAGTTTGCTGTAAGCAGTAGGAAAACTAAAAAGGTCAGAAGCAACTGCTTTTCATTTTGTTCAAATTGATTGCAAAATAAGTTAGCAACATCTATTAGTTGGATACTTCCAGATTTTACAAAGGCGATCCTCAAAATTAATCCTATGACTTACTTGAAGTTGCGCTTCACTATCTATAAAGAATACTAGCAGAAAAGACCTCAGTTGCAAGCAGTGAAAGGAATGCTAGCGGTGTAACTTCTATATTTAATACTCCTAGGATTTCAAATAAGTGGAAATTGATTTAACCCTGAAGGAATTAGGTTCCAAAAACTTGGTAGGATTAGTGAATTGTGAATGATTTGTTCTGTGAAATGATTATTAATAACTTAGTGATTGATAACCGGTATAAAGCTGCTTGTAAAAATGTCAGCACTCTTGTGTCTCCTATTTTTGAAGCTTGCCCCATTTATCATGATTTACTCAATTTCCACTGATTCTTCAAAGCTTCAAAGCTATGGATTGAAAGTAGAGGGCCTGCATTAAAATTTCAAAATACCATTGGAGTTTCAGATAAAAAAATTCATCCCAACAAAAATCTGAGGTGATTTTCTCCTAACTATCCTTCGCATGCGCAAAAAGAGCGAAAAATACACAGTACGCTTACTTCTTATGGCAACTGAGAAAAAACGTCTGACGCACTACACCGACTGAGCTTCAAGACAGCAGTGTACAGGCTGCGCTTCAAACAAATACCAGCTCCCAACTAGTGACTATTATAATAACATACGAGCTTTAGATGCAAAATTTGAAGAAAAAAAAAAAAATTACATCGATAAAAATTTATTGACTGATGGTCAGTCCGTGATGTTGCTCGGGAAGAAGCTAATTTTACAGAGGTAAATAAAAAAGGAGCTCATACACATAACAGCAAGTCAAAATGCAACTTGAAAGAGTAGAGGTTAAGCTGATTGACTTGACTAACAGTGTCGGAGAAGTGATAAACTTACTTGGACGTTTGGCTTCTGAATGAGGTTTCGCACTTTTGGCATTTGCTTGTGGTACTGGGGAACGAGGTGTTTTCCTTGGAGATTTTGTTTCACTAATACCTGGATCAACAGATTTTGAGCGCCCTGTAAAAAATTGAAAGTTTATCAGATGAAGAGACAGACACAAGCAAAGACATGTTTTAACAGTGATCAAAATCAGACTTTCATATTAAATGTTTCCGCTATCCAAACAGTGCAAATTTTGACTGTGGTGGAGACTAATTCATGGTATTTCCCAAAAACTTCCTTAGTGGTCATAAACAATTTTAAAAATTTCAGACAGGCAGCCTGTGACATGCTTTTATTTAACTGTTGTAAGTCTTTCAGGGGACAAAGTTTCAACAACATTCAACATGCATGCAACATTTTTTCCAGTTCAGCAAAATCCCTTTCCCAAAGACAATCACAGAAGTCTTTTCTTCTCCTTTTTAGTATATTTTCTGATGAAGATGCACTTTTTTTAAGTTAATTGGTTTTGATTAATCAATGCTTTCACCTGCTGCTGAGCGAATATGTAATTTGGCAGCATTATCCCTAGTTCCTCGCACTCTGGATTGACTCCTTTCCTCCTGCAATTGAAAAAAAAATCACTGCATTAAAGTTGCAAATTAGCAGCATCAATATGAAGCATCCGTGAAGACCACTGAAGATGACCTATTTCCTATTTAACTAGGATCAAGTTTTTATGAGCGAACTGATTTACATCATTCAATATTTGATAAATTTGATAGTTCTACCCAGAGCAAGAAGACTGTTTTGATGCTGATTGTTTGGCAGGGATTTATAGAGGCAGCAAAATTAGATGGCTACATTTTGAACAACATAACCACTAAACTAGTCTATTTCTGTTGATTTCAATTCAGCTTCAGTTTACTGATGAAAGCAGAGGTTGCTACCACTGAATTGCTGTAGCACTATATCTTGGCTAATCATACCATGACAGAATTATGTCCTTTTTTGAAAAAACAAAAAAAAAAAACTACCGTAAAATATCAATGTTTTTTTCAGGATCCATCATCGCCTGCTGTGTACCATAGTCTTTCTTGAAAACTCTCATACATGATTGCTAAAAAATATAAAAAAAAATAGCCCCTTAAATTATAAAGTTAACCCTGGGATACCCTATCACTGGGTGTCATGGGTCAGAATTAACTTATTTTGTTTGTTCATCATTTTTGTTTCTTTCCCTAGCAATATATTTAAATTCACAGCCATTTATTTACTAATTTATTTCCTTCTGCCAAAAGTATTGTCTATTTATGAAGAATGTTGAGTATCTCTCCGTTTAAACAATACACATAATTTTTCTAGATGAACAGGTATACTCTGTAAGAATTTGAGATGAGTAGAGACAAACCAATGTACTACTGTAGGTACTTCACTGTGAGAAACATTTGATTTGCTTTCTTATAGCAGTTCAAATGCATGTTGCACACAATACATTACCTTATTATGGGTAACAGATCTATCACGTTGATGTGGTGTGGTTGTTCTTGACCATGCCGTTCTTGTGGGCCAAACTTTTTTGGGAGCTTTCTCTTCTTTTACACCAGATCTACATGAACATGGAAAAAAATCATGAAATTATTCACTCCTACTACACCTCAGTTACATTAAAAGTAGCAAAGCAATGTTAATAACCTAGGGGAGGGGAGATGCAAAGAAAAAATTATGAGAAAAACACTGTGGATACTCTACAATTCAGAAAAATCAGTCATCAGAGGTTCAAATTATTGTTAAATTCAGGTTAAAAAAAATCAAGCCGTTAAAACGCTCATCAAAATTCCTACTTATAGATAAGATGTCCAGAGGATACCCGGCAAAGTTCTGTCTTTCAAAAAATAAGCTAGCTAGGGATTATATCTCGAACTCTTTTGAAAAATTAACTTGAAAACTAACAATTGCGACTGCAAGGTTGACTCATTTAGTCAAAACTTTGCATGACTATGGTAATTTGAGAAAAAAACAACTGGACTATCAACCACTTTGAACAGAAATAATTATCTGGGCAGATGCACTCCTTAAAATCAATGTCATCGGTACATTTTACCTGAAACAATACAGGAAAACTAAAATTAAGCAGCAACACTGTTGGATTGCCATCCGACTGAAAATACTAAGTACCCAAGTAGCATTTTTCAACAGGAAGATCGGTATATATTGCAATTTTATCGGCGATAAAATCTATAGGATCACCAACATCTGAGCCATTATCCTCGATCTTATCGAGATAAAATTGCAATTTTATCGCCAGGCAATTTATCACGATATTTTCGGAAAAAAAATGGTGATAAATTGCGATTTAATCTCGATTTTATCGACGAAAATTGATCGTGGTTTTATCAAGCAAAAAATTGCGAGGTGTAGCGATTTAATCGCCATAAGTCGCAATTTTTGGTGCGATAATATCTCAGTATACTGCCACCTATATAATCGCGATAACTAACCAATAAAATCACTATTTATCGCGATCACTGCTACTTGGGTAGGAGGAGTCGGACAGAGTCTCCAACCTTCCTAAGACAGGAATATTTCTTTCAAGCAAAGAAGTGATAAGTGCAGTTTGCGCTACAGTTTGTGGGTAATTTTGGCTTCTTTTTTGCCAGAATGCTGTTATTTGTTCATTTCTTTGTTTTCTTACATTACTAGTTCCTTCTGACTAGACTTGGTTCATTTAATGACAATAAAAGCGCAATTAGAATCTTTACCTTGGAGTCGTTGATGCTAATGACAAGGCTAAGAGAGAGCTGCGACACTGTACTTGCTCCCATAGATGCCTGCTATCTGTTTCTGATTCATTTAATAACTCCACGCCCCATCCTCGGTGCTTGTATTCATCAGCTTTCTGCCTTAACTCTAAAACCTCCTTGTACCATGTTGAGTCAGTGGGAATGCTAACTTCAGTTTGTTTTTCATCAGATGCTTCCTTTTGAAGGAAACGACCTCCAACGTAATCATAATGAGAGAACGGACGAAACTTTTTCTTGTACTCAGTTTTGTATTCCCTGCAAGAATGACATTAATAAGATGTTAAAGGATACAATGATCTGCTTCAAAAGTGCTTTTTCATATGTACGTCAGTTGCCAAAAGACCTTTAAAAAGACTGATACATAAGGTTTAAGCGGTGGCAGAGCACCATGGATTTCTGTTAAGCGACATGTAGGTACGTGAGGACCTTTCCGATCAAACAGTATACAACAATGTCAGCATTGCTAGAATTGTGCTTACCTCTAACTGTTTAGCTGGTAGAGACCTTCATGTCTTGCTCTGCAATTTGTCACAATTTTCTTCCGATTTTCCGAAACATTTTGGTTATGATGTAACCAAATACATATTATATCCAAAAATATTGCAAAATAATTGCAAATTTATCTTTGACTTACTACAATACTGTTCCCTGAATAAGAATCTTATTCTTTCTTTCTGCTCCATTCCCTCAAATTCACATTCTCAATATTGATGCAAGTATGCCCCTTATTAGGTCCTTTAATGAGAGATACATACATGAGAGCAGGGCCGGATTTACCAATAGGCTACATAGGCTATAGCCTAGGGCGCAATATTCTGAGGGGCGCACAATTTTTGAAAATTTATTCAAAAACGTATTTCCCAAAACCAACTTGCGAACGTAAACGTATCTCAAAACTGTTTAAAATCGTGCTTTTTTAAAGGTGAATTTGAACATTTTCCGGAAACCTAACATCCTCCTTCTGATCTGGAGGGGAGGAGCGCCCCCCCCCCCACAAGAGCGCCTACTTTTAGGGGCGCCACCCTAAGTTTAGCCTAGGGCGCTAAAAATGTAAATCCGGCCCTGCATGAGAGTCCTTCTCACAGCGCTCTTTGGCACTCTGCGACCCCTAATCGCCACAAAACTTGGTTCTCCCACAAGTCATCAGGGAGTTGGCACTCCCTCACCTCATCCAAAAACCCCTGTCGCCACCCATTCACCAGGCGTCCCACGAGGAACCCAATCAAGCATTTTTTTTTGGCAGCCTCTCTTCCAATTCACTTTAATTTAATGAGAGGTACACACCACTAAATTACATACAATATTTGCTCTTAATTAAGAAACTTCCGAGGTAACTAGGTTTAATTGATAGCGAGACACAATTCATACCTTAAATCTTCATTTTTACTTTCAGTCACTGGTGGTTCTGCTTCTGATTGTCCTGAAAAAAAGAAGAAATTAGTAAATTAGGTGCCAAAATATAGTAGAAAATGACTGTGTGACTCTATTGACCCAAAACATCTTGAATGTGTCACTGCAAAGAGTAGGCTGTTTATTTAATGGATTTCCCTCCAATCTCTAGATTGTTATTAGACACATGCACATACTTACTAGTAATTGGACCGCGTTAAACAGAAAGGAACCAAGCCACATCAGCTATTGCCAAATTTAATTGGGCAATTTAATTTTTTACATGAAAACGGTTGTGCAGATTTTTGTACACATTTCAGTGAATTTTCTCCACAATGCAAAGCAAATTCCTTAAAAATTTCAAAGGAATCTGCACAAACGTTCTCTCGTAAAAAATAAAATGTCCTTGTTAAATTTGGCAATAGCTGATGTGGCTTGGTTTCTTTCTGTTTAACGCGGTCCTGCGACAGCACTGGCAAACATGAGCAGCATATTTTCCAGATGCCCACTTCTATTCTTATAAAATTTAAATTGCTTCTAGGAGTTCAATACTTGGAAATTAAGGGTGGTTTTCACATCAAAATGATGCAGAGGTAGCCCCTCCACGCTGAGGTACAGTGATCTCAATTTTTTCTCCTACCTGAAGGCACACTTTTTATTGACTATGTAACAATTTGTCTTCGAATGATTATTTTCCGTTGACTAACTTTACCATTCCAGTGTCAAAAAATCATGAGGTTTTGCAAATAAAACTAGTGCAGACAACACTGGGTGAATCACCTTCTTAATGTCATACTTGAACGATCATTTAAGTATGTTGTTACCTCGAGGTGTCAACACTCGGGTGGAAAACGTCAACCTGTATCAGTTTCTGCAAGGCTGAGGATACCTACCCTACTGTTCCAAAATTTATCTCTTGCAGACAGATCACCATTTGAATGCTCACCTACCTGCTCACACACTTCAATGTTTTCACTCACATACGAATTAATCCAAGTATTGAAAAGTGCAAATGCCTCATTTAAAAAGGCAATGAAGAAATCAGGCGAACTATTGATAAAACGGGCTATTAAATTATACTACGTAGGGTACATCGATTTAATTTGATAATCAAGTATAAAATTTGAAATTTAGTGACAATTTCATAATTATGTACCATGCATGGAGAACCTCAAAATGTTTGTTTGTTTACATGATGCAGTGCTTCCACTTTTTCTAACTGAAGAATTTTCTTGGTATTGAATACCTAAGAATTGAGCAATGCCCACTTAAACACCAATGGTCATGATCGCAACTATGGTTATTAAAATTCCGTTCTTAATCATTTTCCTCCATTACAAGTGCAGTATGAGATATTTCATAGTATCAAAGACATATGACGGATTTAATGACTCTTTTTTATTTTTCTCCAGAGTGAATAACCTGTCATTCCAGAAGAGCGCCAATGTCAAATGTGCGCTGTTTCTCCAATTCTTGCATATTCTACTCCAAATTTCCATTACAATATCCTTCACAGTTTGTTGCCTCATTACTTATTACTTAAATTTTTCTAAATGGAGGACGGAGGAACGCAAGAGAAGTTCATACTCCAAATATCGCTTTTTTAAGAAAACGACCGATAAAATTTTGATTTTGGTTTACGTGTATTACATTAGAAAATATAAGAATGAATTTTCAAACTTTGAGTTCTCTTTTACAGGTGAAATTCGCTGAATGAAGGCTATGTTAAAGAATTAAGAGAAATATAAAAGCAAAAGTGAGGTCTTTTTTTCGTGGCATAAAAATTCTCTTGGTTGGGGTAAACTTATTTTAGGTACATTTCCGCAGTGCTCAGTGGTGGTATTTCTTGCGGGATCTGAATGCATTAAAACTGGCAGGCAAAAATTAAGTACTTTTACAGTACTTTTTCAGTACCTTTCCAAAAAATTCATTATCTCTTACCCAGAAAAAAATTCAGCACTTTTTTGGTACCTTTAAGTTGATTGTTGACTTGAGTTCCTATTATTTAGTGATATTTCTTAACATTTATTGATATGTAATTCTTCTATAAAAATTATCTATTTGCTAAATACAATCATATAGCTAGAGCAGACTTAAACTTTGCTGTCAAATCTGCAATAGCGGCGAAGAAAAACCGTCAAGGCCAGCGTGGACGCTGATTTGATATTAATCTTCCATCGAATTTCTACGGCGCGGCGCAACGATACAACTATTCGATCTCTCCGGAATGCGCGAGGTATCACGCCACAATTGAAGGCGTTTTCGAAACTGCCAACTTTCCATATCGGGATTCTCGTGTCGCATAAATAGGGTGTCTACTAAAACCGGCTGGCAAATATTAAGTACTTTTACGGTACTTTTTCAGTGCCTCTCCAAAAAAATTCAGTACCTCATGAGCAGAAAAATTCCGTACTCTTTTGGTATCTTGAAGAGACGAAATTTGAAAACTGTCAAACTTCACGCACAAATTGCGAGAAAAATGACGTTGCCAGAAAATTCGAAGCTCATTGGTGGCCTAAAGACCAACTGGCTTTGCAATCTCGATCGAGTAAGAAAATATACTGCACTAAAAATCATTGAGCAATGGATAATTGCATATTTCGACAGTGAAACTACCAAACCACGTATCTCGTTTGCGGTGTTTAAATATCTACGCTCACATTTTATTTTTTGGAAGTAGACCAAATCAATATCATTCCTTGAAATTTTCACAGAATTTTTTCTGCACGAAGAGGAAAAATCACAGAAATTTTCAAGACTGGACGTTAAGTAGTTTTTCATTTAAAAAATAAAGTATGACAGGAAGTCTGCGACGTCGCAAACCGAGATACGTGGTTTGGTAGTTTCACCGTCGATTTGCCGTGCTGTTTTAAAAAACGCCCGTGGCATGAAGCAATAAATTCCGGACCTTCGTAGAGAATGGCCGTACTTTTTCAGTACCAAGTTTAGCGAACATTGTAGCACAATGTCCAAAAGGTAGCAGCACTTCAAATTTTTCGGTGTAGGGAATGTAGCAGGTGCTAGAAATAATGTAACAGTTTTTGGTAAGCTTTCATTTTATTGATAAAATTTGACCAAAGCTATTCGAAGCAAGCGCTTCATCGTCAGGGTCACAAAGTAGGTATTACCACTTTCTGAAATTAAGTTATGGCCTTTGTAATCAATAGGTACTTTGTGACCCTGACGATGAAGCGCTTGCTTCGAAAAGCTTCGGTCAAATTTTATCAATAAAATGTAAGTTTTTCAAAAAATGTTACAGTATTTCTAGCACTTGGCTACATTCCACATAGCGAAACATTTTTCAGTACTTCCGGACTTTCCGCACAAGTGGACGCATTGATTATGAATTTTGGAAACTGAGCCGTTAAACAAAAATAGGAGGGTAGACAGTTTTAAAATCGAGGTAACATTGTTTTTAGGTGTTTTTTGGCCACCGCCTCCTGGACGCAGGCCGCAGAGTTATATAGATTTGCATAAATTTCAGCGACTAAATGCCACGGAAATTTTCTATCTCTGCGCCTCAGAACCTCAATTATTATCTCAGACTTAAGAGAGGGCAGCCGATGAACCTTCAATTGGCTGTGTATGCAACATCGACATCCCTCGTGCACGAATAGTTGTATGCAATCGTTACCTCAACATCAGGTGCTTTTCTTAGCCAAGATTTCGATGATCAATGTCGAAAAACGCGTATTTATTTTCTTTTTCTTTTTTTTTAAAAAAAATGAGGACAAATAGAAGAAAATGTCATCGGTTAGGCTTCCTACATTTCCCATGGAATAATGGACATAGCTGAAATCCTTCCGAAAATAAGATAAGAATAATGTAGTTCCTTCGGAAAATACACTAAAAAACGAGACTGAAGAGGTAGTAGGACAAAATGTCCGAAGTACAAAAATGTCCAAAATCAAGAAAATCCATGTCTAAAACAAGTCCAAATATCTGGAATGTCTACTGGCGGTATTATGCCCAAAAACAAAAGTTTCCAAATGAGAAATAATTTGACAAAGTGGCAACATAAGGAGCCTGGAAGCTTTCTATATCAATATACATTGGTATCCAGCGGTATCAAGAATTTAAAGATAAAGATGATATTACACGATATCCTAGGGGAATAACCTATTATAATCGAGTTAGCAACGAGCTGCAAGACGAAAGTATGATGAGGAAGTAGGAAGAATTTCTTCCAACAGGTAAATGGTAATATTAATTTTGACCCACAGTAACCAGACATTTGGACATTTTTAATTTTGGCCATGGTACCGCTACTGGACGTTTCAGGTGCTTGGACATTTTTTACTCATGGACTTTTCTTATATTAGACCCTGGTAAAAATTGGCGATAAGAGCTGCGTTTCAAAATACCATAGAAGTTCTTATAGCCGACTGAGGAAGGCGATAGAAAATCATACGGCTGGCTATAGAAAGTGGAAAAAATCATACGGCCGGGCTACACGAAGTGCTAAAAAATTATACAGCCGGGCTATAGTTCCTATCGCCGGGCTTTACACTTTATCGCCTGGCTGTTGCTTTTTCGCCATCGACTATGAAAGGCTATAAGAAATTGTGTAGAAATTCGTGTGCTTTATGTAAATCCTCAAGTTTTCTACGGAACCACCTTAATATTTACAAAACGCTTATTATATTTTCCTTAACTACATATTTTTTTTCATCAATTAAAATGAGAAATAATCCATACAGAGTGTGCAAATATTTCAAAGTCATGAGTTGAGAAAGGCTGACTCCACGCACGAGATTAAATATTAGAGGCTAACACAAAGTGGAGCGGCGGCGCCTACAAACCTAACAGGGATACTTCACGCATTGCGCAATGCGTGAAGTATCCCTGTTAGGTTTGCAGGCGCCAGTGCTCGTTTCGAGCTGGCTGCCCGCCCGCCGCGCCGCCGCAGCGCAGCGTACCACGGCGCTTGAAGCAACTATTTCACACCAGAGGTATTGCACAGTATCATACGAAATTGAAGGCGCTCCAACATATTAAGAATGACAGGCATCCTTCAAAAGTACGGAGCTTTCCTCGCAAAATACATCAAGATACTACGGCCCAAAAGGAGAGAGGTAGTTCAAAAACTCACTTAGTCCTAGCATCCGTAATTAGTAACGTTTAGCATACACTGTACCGACAAGCTTTTGCTTAATCGCCATCGGCTATAAAAGGCTGTAAGAAATTGTGTTGCCGGCTTGGAACACAGATTCTACTGCCAATTTTTACCAGGGAACATTTTTTTACTCTGGATATTTGTTTTTGGACATTTTGACCTATCACTGCTGAAGAGTCAAAAAATTACCGTCTTTCCTGTCGACTTCGGCGTTCTTTTTCCTGTGAACGGGCGCTATGTTTGATTGGTTGGCCTTGATGGTTCCCATGGAGATGGATTTACGCGGGGGGCCGAGTCCTGGTTCGGGGACGACCATGCCAGCCGGCGGCTTCCCATTGGACATGTGTTCCTCGCCCTCTCTCGGCCAGGCAAACTGCAGTCTGTACTCTGTGCTGATCTTCGCTACTGCGTTCCTGAACGCGGCTGAAGCAGGGCCATTTGTACGTTCGTGTTTCTAAACAACAAAATCAACAAAAAAAAATACGTTAGAAAATACAGTAGAACTACAATTCGGAACATTCAGACGCATTAAGAGCCCTGGTGGCAGTGACCTTGAGAAAAGCAATTTTCAAAAAGTACATCCACGAGTCAGGGTTGCCACGGAATTTAGAAAATGAAATTCCCTGACATTTCCTTGATTTCCCTGACACGTTTTGGTGGAATTCCCTGACATTTGAAGATGTGACGAATGGTTAAGAAGGCATAATTGAAAATAGTTTTCAGGCAAAATTTTTTGTTCAAAATCTCAAACCCATTCTGGAAAGAAAATGAAGGTGATTTAACGAATTTTCCCTGGCATTTTCGTCATTTTCCCTGACATTTCCCGGTTCTCCCTGACTTTTTAAAATTCTCTGACATTTTCCGGTTTTCCCTGACTTTGGCAACCCTGATGAGTGCTACCACCTTAAAAAGAGCTTCTAGTGACTGTAAGTATGAACCCTGAAAGCAGCAATACCCATTCAAAAAGTGCAGGGATTTTGCTATTTTCTGATTGTAGCCCACGTAATATCGTATTTATTTCAACAAAAAAGTTCTGGGTGCCAACAGTCCACATTGCTATCCGGCGATACTGCCTGGATAATCGCTGATGATCTTCTTATCCATTTGAAATTCCTAGACGATGTTTTGTTTGTACAAGGAGAGAAAGTATTTGTGTTATTTTGTTTTCATTTCATGGATTCGCTTTTTTATTCATCTTTTGTTGAAAAACTATTCGTACAACTCGAAAAAGTTGCAAACTAAGTTCAGATTTGACAAAATTTTTTAGTTTCAGTCTGATGGACCTACCTGGGTTGCATGAAAAAAAATTTAAATTGACAATGCATTGACATTTTTCATAAGGAACGATGATGCAATAAAAAAGCAGTATTGTTCAAGATTCATCTACGTAGAAATCGAGTAAAATCCATGGGTTAAAATAATAAATGATTAAATCACATCATTAAAATACAAGAGGGCTACTTAATCTTACCTTTTTAAATTAACTACTAAAGCCTATTCCAAAAACTGATTCAGGTGATAAACATAAGAAAAATTATTTAAACGAGGTACTAAAAAGAACGAAATTGAAAAGGTGAATGTGTCCAAACTGATGAGAAAACTCTAAAATCAATGTGAGCATCTAGATATATGGGTTATTTAGGCATCTAAATAACTTGGTTATATCCACTATTTCTAAAAATAATGCAGGCGGCATCAATACAGTACCTACAGTGCTCTTTCATAAAAAGTAATTAATGTTTAAATATTCTAAGGTTTTTGTGTGACACTTCAATTAATATCAACGGAGATTATCTACTGAGCAAATTTAAACAGTGAGACTGAGAAGGCAGACCCATACATCCAATGAAATTTATTTTAAAAATATTAAGAAAAAAAATGAGAGCTTCTGAGACGCACAGAATTAATATTTATAATTGGAGGCAATAAGACGAACTTGGCGATTCACTTTTTTCAGTATTGCAACAGTAAAAAATAGCAGAGAGTTTCTTCAAAATTGAAGATCTCCACATTGAAGCATTTTTGAGTCGTAAATTAGGATAAAAAACTGTTGAAATGATATGATAATTCATGGAAAAAGACAAAAACACTTGGAAACGATCGGACTGAATGCATTGCAATGCATAGTTGCAAAAAAGTAACTAACAATTATTTAATTCTGAAAAAATAAAGAAAACAGTGGTGCACTCTTCTGTTTTAATTTTGGAGAAATAAATTCATGGCATTAGAGAAATATTACCAAGCATTTTTTGAGTGGGCTTACGAATATTATGTTTTTAAAAGCAGATTATCTAAAAAGATGTTGCAACATTGCTTTGAGCTCGTTGAACTCCAAAAGTCACAGGCGATATAAAAGAAAATAAAGGGCATGAGACAAAACAACTAGCGAACGATGAGTTATAATAATAATAAAAATTACTGTTCAGATAGGACAAACCCTTAAAATAATGACACAAGACTTTGAGAAAAGCGTAGAACACATGAACAGCAGAAAAAAATTATGGATATCAAAATAAAAAAAGTATAAATGAGTACAATTAGCTACCGAATCCGCAAATGGAACTAAGGTACCACGACCGATAGTCAATGCGTCTGAAACTAATGCCCATCTCCGTTTTGATCATATTCATACTGTTTTTCTATGTCCCATGTTTTCCCTCTGAAAAAAGAGGTTTTTTTTTTGAGGTTTTTTCTTCCTCAAATGAGATGAATTTCTAGTTTGAGCGCTTTCCGAATTTTTAGAGCGAGAGGGGGCTTAGGGTAGCTTAGAGGAGCTTAGGGTATATTCAAAATCCAAATTCATGGGGGTAGAAATTTTTCCGGAACATTCTCTGTGTTTATACGAGGAGAAAATGTAACATCACACATTAAAATCATTCAAGCGGTCAGGCATTTCAATTTTCACGGCCAGAATTACCGGCATTTCCAGAAGCTTTCCCCAAAATCCCTCTGATAATCCATGAGTTTTCCCGGAGAATATTGTGTACCCTCTGTTTTTCGGGTTGCCTGAGCCATGTTTCAAGTAAAAATGGATATTTCACGGTCGATGAGGTGGTTTCTGAGGTGGATTTTTATCAGATCCCGGCCACCACCATGTAGGGCTCAGGTTCTCATCGTTTTTTTTTAAATTTTTACTGTAACATTTCCGACTGAAAATGACTCAGTTTTGAGTTGAAACGTCTCGATTTTTTAAATTGTGTATTTTAGCCGTGTTTCCCGTTTTTCCCCTTGTTTTTCTACTGTTACCATTGTCTCGGGCTGCTCTATAAACATTTGTATCTATGGATCCTGAAAACCGATGTTTTTTGTGCTGCCGAAGAATAAGCTGGGAACGAAGAGGGAACTACAACTGAAGAACAAGGGTAAGCATCTGATAATTTTATTACAAGACCAACGAAAGGGATAACTCGAGGCGCACATGCTATTAAGCGTATAACGGGCAGCCGCCGGCAACAGCGAGAAAATACTATGCTCCCGCTCAAAGCAAAAACTTTGTCACACCCAAACAAGACCCTCTTAATGTTTTCCTGACAAAATGCTCGATTACGAGAGTACCTTCCACTCGTTCATTATCAGGGTGTCTACCAGTTATGAAAAACCAAAATTTGGGACTTTCGGGTACTCTTAGGGGTGTTTTTTCAAGAAAATCGGGGACTTTTTTTCCCGAAATAGAAACAGCAAGAGAGCTAGTTAGAGCGTTAAGGCGTATTTCATACAACTAATTTTACAATTCATGTTGAACCGATGAAAGCATACAAAAACCAAGCAACACTTCGGTTTTTCTATTCCTGGTTATACTGTGCCGCTGCGGCTGGCGGGAAAATTTGAAAATGCCGGTGTACAGGACGATATTTCTCAATTTTTGGGGACCTGAACAAGGAAATTGGGGACTTTCGGGGATATCGGGGACACCCTTCCAAAATCGGGGATATCGGGAATACCGGGGTCACCCTTCCAAAATCGGACATAATCGGGGATATCGGGGACTTTTGGGGACCGGTAGACACCCTGATTATGAGTTTTCAATGGTCACAGTCATCCTTAAAATACGAAAGATGGATGAACACTGAAGTTTTTTTATATTCAACAGTTTGTCAGTGAAAAAATTGAAGGATTCAGCATGGGGTGACTTGGTTCTTTCCTTGGACGGCAGTATGGAAAGGACAGCCAATCTTCACGCCAAATCCTGGGCTCATATCCTCTTATAGTAGCTGGCTCTTCAATGAGGAGGTCCCAAGTTCGATCCCCCGCTACGCGATCAGAGTTCGATGTTCTCAAACTACGGTTGTCTGGGGCTGATTGTATAGAGTAGGGACCGAGAGGCTGTGGCTGTGAGCAAGGGCATCTTATCGAATATGGAAAGGGGTTGCGGTACCGTCAACTTTCGCAGATTATCGCCTACAGTCTGATTGTTTAAGTTTATAGACAAAGCGATAGACGAAGACAAAAAAGATACGGGGGGATTCTATATGGGTGGTTCCTATAGACTAAGATGGACTGATTGGACGGATTTCTGTTAAACGGAACTGAGTGCCAAATTGAGTACCTTTTGAGGATTTTAGTCTTTCAGAATCCCGGATAGCGCGTTCTGTCAAACGGAACTATGCGCCATGTAAAAGCATTGCAAGTATAGGACGGAACGAGCATCGCGCTGCGCAACACCCGCCAATCCAAGCCCCCCTCTCCCTATAGCCCTGGATAGACGATCAAAGTCCCGAACCAATTCCGATGAAAGTGTCGGGAGTCATCGGTCTTAAACTCATTAATTTGCTTCATTTTAAAATGAATACTTGGCAGAAATGTTTCCTGTGGCAGGAAATGATGAATGGTGGCACTCCATTCTGATCTTACTTTGAACAGATAAGTGCGGCCCGTCAAAATTTGATGGTAGATGGTGACCGTCAGTCATCAACATATCTACTTTGATCGGAATTGGTTCGGAATTTGATCGTCTATCCAGGGCTTCCGGCGCTTAGTTCCGTTTGATAGAAATACGTCCAATTACAGGGTCTCTCGTGGGTTGCCTGCGGGGGGGTTGTCTGTGGGGTGGTTAGTTTGCCCTGCCTCCTTTGTCCATTTCAATCACCCGCCTCCACCAATATAATCCCTTCACAGCCCTTTTCTCTTCTTTGTCTAAAACTTTGTCCACGGATTTCAATGATGAGCCCGGAGTCTGGTGAAGAATCCTACGAAAATTAGCTTTTTCAGGCCTGTCGCTATGGGATATTGGTTGTGAAGACGGGTTGTCCTCTCCAGGCTTTGTCTAGGGTTCGGGTACTCGAGAATGGGGTGGGAAAAGGTGGTGAGAAGGCCTACCGCTCCTTCGTCCGAGTCGTTGCGGAGGATGAGACGGGTGCGCGCTCTACCGCGACCGTAGCGCAACCTAAACGTGGCGTTCGGGGGACCCTCGGACCTGCTCCTTCGCGAGGATCCGGCCGCCTTCAGCTTGGCCCCGCCTCGCTCTTCCGACTAGAACAAGTTCAAAACATTCCGCCCGTTCTCAACATGTTCTCAACATGTCCCACTTCAGCACGAGGCCGGGGCCCAACACCAACTTGTACAATGTTCATGTACACTAATTGCACACCGAGTAAAAACACTTCAAACACATTTCCTTCCTCACTTCACTTACCTCTCAAAATATCCGTCAATTGACAGAAATTTAGCAAAACTCACTAAAAGTTGATCCGCTCTGAACAATGAAGTGGCGTGATTTGCGATGTATCAATGGACCGGTAGATAAGGTACGAATTTCAGCATTCTGATACATGTTTCTTAACCAAAATTTCACATTAAACACGATGCACACAACGAAAGTTACCGAAATTAACTCCTTACGAAGATATTCAACGGTTCTTGATGCGTGAATTCAAACCACCCGCTCATGAAAACTCAATGCTGTACGTGATTCACATCGCGCGCTAAATGCTTATCATGACAGTCTCTGCGATGTAAAAATCTTCAACTTCAATCTTGACACTTTGGCTCAGCTATAGCAAATTACCAATAGTTTGAACAACACAAGGTGTAAAATGAACATTGCTCGATTGAGAAGCTTGCTGAAACCGTTGTAGTAGGCGATTTGACTCACGTAGAGCTTTGAGTTTCTTGTGAGCGGGTAGTTCAAATCCCTCGTAACCAATGTGAAATAAAAACGTTAATATCTTCGTTAGGAATTGGTTTCAGTAATTTTCGATGTGTGAATCGTGTTTTACGTGAAATTTTGGTTAAGAAACATGTATCAGATCGCTTGAATTCGTACCTAGTCTAGTGGTCCATTGCTATGTCGGTTAAGATTATGGAAAAAGATCGATTATCAGGGCATTCGCAACGAACACCATAATAATCGATTCTTTACCATTGCTTCAAATGGTATAAAGTCGATAGTCGATTATACAGCCGACTGAAATGCAAGGTGGCGGAGCAAATGCCCCCCTCAAATGATGCTCCTGGAATCAACGCATTAAAAGCTCAGAAAACGAATGTAGATTAGCACACACTTCATCCACCCATTTCGCGACGAGGAAACGCTGATTTTCACTTAATTATTGAAATAGCCATATTATCTTTGTGAGTCATACCCTTGCCAGATGATCATGACCACGTAGTGTAAGTAAAACCGTGAGCGAAAATTTCTTTAGATCAAAATTGAAACATTTGAATGTATCGATTCCAAGACGGGGCGAAAAAAATGCAAAGTTTATGGACTGAGTAATTTCGCCAACGGGGCGTCACATCTGCGCCACTTGCCTTGGAGCAATAGACAAAGAAGAGAAAGGGAAAATGGAGCGATCCTATTGGTTAAAACGAGTGGTTGTTATGGACAAATGAGGAAAATGATGGACTGAAGATGGGGCCTCTCGTTGGTTACTGATAGTTAGTCTGTAACTTACCAGCAGGCTGATTATTGAAATCGATGGACAAAGCGATAGACAAAGAATACGTAGGGAGTATGGAGCGATCCTCTTAGTTAAAAATAGTGGTTCCTATAGACTAAGGAGGGAAATGATGGAGTGACTACATATAGGATCTCTCGTTGGTTGCCGTTAGTTAGTCCATTACCTACCTCCTTTGTCCATTTGCGACCATCCGCTTCCACGCTAAGGAAGAACGCCGTATGAATCTTAAGGCGTTACCAAATTTCCTTTTACATTATAACACATTTCCTGGTAAACTTATGAATATTTTCCATCTATTTTTTTAGATAAGTTTGTTCGCAATGTCACCTGAAGCTCTTGAAAGTTTAAAGGGAAAACATTCATGGCTTACCCCGAAAATAAACATTTCATCGAAGGAAATTTGGCAACTCCCGAATCTTCATACGGCGTTCTTCCTTAGCATGGCAGTATAGGATCCCTCCATACCTCTTTTGTCTTTTTTGTCTATCCATTTCAATGATGAGCTCGTTGCTTCGTCCATCGCCATCAGCCGCTTCCAAAAAAAGGATGGCTCTATTTACTTTCTGTCTTTATTCTCTATCCCTTTGTCCATCAATTTCAATAATCAGCGCGGCTGTGATATGCAAAATCGATAACAGGTGACATAAAAGTCCCAGTCAGCTAATATTTCCCTCTTACACTGGCACAACAATGCATCTCGACATCTTCCGCGGGTGAGGGAGGGGGCCGGGGCCGGGGCCGCCGTCCCCGACGCGATACGTCCCTTTTTCACTTAACTGCAGCGATATCCCTTTGAGGACCCGTCCTTTTCGCTTCCATCCGGGCGGTCTTTTCTCAGAGATAAAAGGCAGATTCCCTCTCGCGTCCCGTAGCTCCCGTATAATACTGCCGTGCTATGGAAAAACGCCGTATGAGCCTTCGAACGTTGCCATGTTCCCGCCGATAAAAACCGAAATTACTGAGAAAATTGTGAATTTTGTTTTCCGAAAATTTCAGATAATTTCGTACGCAATTTAAGCTAAGTCATCTGAAAATTCCAAGGAAAAATATGCATGAATGTTGTCAAAAATACATGTTTTATTCGGGGAAATTTGGCAACTCTCGAATGTTCATATGGCGTTCTTCCTTACCACGGCAGAATATCCAAAGACCTTACTCGGGAGTTAGCATGAGAATATTTTCCATAAAGAGGATGCGTGGCAGTGGCGAGGCGGTAAAGATCGATTATCGATATTTCCCCCATTAAAAGTATGGTAAAGAATCGATTGTTGGAGTGTTCCTTGCGAACACCCTGTCTATCGATCCTTTTCCATAGGTTTAAGTGGCAAATCAATCGATATATCGTAAAGCACGCAACGCAACTGATCGGTGTCCCCGGAGAAGGCATAACCGCCTTTCTTTGTCCGTCTTCTACGCGTTTATTCAAGTCTTTTCTCTACCTTATTTCTTCCCCTTGATACTCCTGGTGCGCCTGCAAAATTGATTCTCTTTTGACTCTGACATTATCTGAAAATCACAGGAATCCCAACTTGGGGAGCTTTAAGGATAAATCCCCGTTTCCTAGACGGAGGGACGTAATTCCGTTCCAATGCTGCAAAATTTATATTTTTAAAAAAAAATTAAATAGTTTACGAAGATATGATCGTGCGATTTCTGACCAAAAATTTGCATATGTTTTGCTTGGACCTAATCAGAGGAGAAATTCTTGACATTTCCAATCAGGTACACCCAAAATTTTTTTAGTAAAAATACAATTAGCGATGGGAAATTCTACAGAGTTGAATTGACTTGATGAAGGACAAGACGCAGAAGTGCGGCTTTTGAAAACTAGTCCTAATACCAATTCTGTGAAAAATACACTCCCAAATTCCAAGACGTCGCAGATGCCGCAGTTGCCGGCAATTCGCAAACAGTATCGCCGCAACTCGTCAAATTACAATAACTCGCATCGACAAATTAAAGGATGCATTAGTAAATAAATTCGAATGCTGGAGCGCTATCCGATCCCTGTGATACTCTCCGTTTAGTTTAGTTGCCTATCCGACCCAAACCCAACTGAGGTCACTGATTTCACTGCACGCCCTCGCGAGTGAGCTATCACCTCACTGACAGCATACAGCAGAGCATTGAGAGCTCACGCATCGCGTCATCGCGCCTTCAATTTTTCAGACGCAGCACGGACGTCCATCAAGTACGAATAGTTGTATCTCTGCGCCGTCGTAAACGCGCATCCTTTCCCTAGCTTTATTTCCATATTGTGTTTGTTTGCGTTTGTCTTATCACTCAAAAAAAAAACTACGGCCCTGTGACCCGGTTGCTCTGGACACTGGTGATCCCGGTGTTAACGCGCCGTCAGCCAGCTAGTACCGGACGCCGCGGCCGATGTCCCGTGGAACGCGCGCGGCCTTCGTGGCCGTAAGACCGGTTAGGAGCCGAGCGTAAGTTACGGGTTTCAGGATCGGAACCAACCGCTTCCACGGCCGTTGGCAGTGAGGTGAGATTCAGTTTTCGGAAAATGGCGTCACCATCAGATTAAAATCGAGACGGCTACGTGTATATTCGCAGAAACTTATAATATTTTACGTCAATGTTATTCAGTGCGTGAATTTAAAGTTGCCGCCAGCCTTGAACATTTTCGGGAGCGATCGCAGCCACCACTCAGCGTTGTTTATTGAGGTTAGAATCTAGTAAATTGCTTGTCATTGTTGCAGGGCTGCCGATTCGTGAGTAATTACTCACATCGTGAGTAATTTGAGCACCGGTGAGTAAAACGTGAGTAATGAGTAATTGGTGAGTAATCCGACGATCCGTGAGTAATCGTGAGTAATGCAAAATCCATGGGTAATTCTCAGTAATTCTCCATTTTTGGCGCTATTTGTGTGAGTAATCGGTGAGTAAAATTTAAAACGATGAGTAATCGGTGAGTGAAAACAATGTCAATGTGAGTAAAATCGGGAAAGGGTGAGTAAAAAGTGAGTAAAATTGAGAACGGTGGGTAAAAGTTAGTAAAATCGGGATCAGTGAGTAAATTTTAGATTGGTGAGTAGCGTGTGAGTAAAAAATTCGTGAAATGTGAGTCCGAGTATCGGCAGCCCTGCATTGTTGGTCATTGCTCATTATGTGTGTTCGTTTTTCGTTTAATTTTGGAGGTTTTCGGCATATTTTCTTGATTCTGTGCGGTGCACGATTGATTCTGAAGTTCTGTGTGATAACGCTTGTCAAATACTTTCGGAAATGCGACGAGAGTTAAGTGAAAATTGTCAGTTTTACCTACGCACTGAGCTCATATCCTCTCCTCCTGTAAGTTCGTTTGCAATTCACTTATTTTCCCCCTACTAAGGGAAAGAACTTAAATCAAAGAAAAGCAATCAATTACCTGCCACGCATCTTCCCACAGAGTAAATTACCGCCACACTAAAATACTGATAATGTAGACACGAGAATGTCTATTTACCGATTGCAACTTCATTGTGCCACCTTTGCTTGCTCATGAGATCGGATTGATTTTTTATTCCATTTCAATCTAATCTCTGGCTTATACTTAAATGTTTTCAATTGAGAGTAGGTAGT